GCTCCTTCATCCTGGCGTTTCTCTGCGCCCCCCGCCACCCCCCCACCCCCGTGTTTACTCCTGACCCTCCCAGTTCCGGCCTGCGCTGCTGGGAGAAGCCTCAGCAGCCAGCTTGGGGAGTTTCTCAGCTTCCAGAGGCATCTGGGCTTCCAGGAGAGCCTGAAATAGGCTTGTCTGAGCGTGAGGGGGAAGGCGGCAGAGTTACAACCGGGAGAGGAGCCTTCCTAGAGCATGGATGCTCCCTCTTGGTCTCCTCCCGGCAGCGAGAGGAGGCATGGGGTCTGGGCAGCCCCTCTGGCACCATCCTGGAGGCTGCTACCTCCTCACAGGGGGAGTGTTGGGGTGTGGGAGTGAGGAGGGAGGAGGTGAGAGTGCCCAGTCAGAGGGCGACTGTCTCGGGCTCTGTCCCGCCCGTCCTTGTTGATGGGGCGTAAAGACAAGAGGCGTCTGTGACAAAACTGAGGGGCACAGGATCTGGGGAGGGGCCTTATCTGAGAAGCTTATCAGTCGAGTCCCCCTAACACCCCCTACTGGGGCGGACATCAGGAGGAGAAAAAGGAAAGGGAGGCTGGTGGGACTTGGGGCTGGGCGAGGGGGCGCTGGGCCAGCTTCTCTTCTGAGCTGGGCTGGGCTGGGCTGGGCTGGGCTCCCGGCAGCCGAGGTGGGGTCAGGCGAAGTGTGCCTGGGGTTATCAGCAGCCCAGATCTAACTGCTATCTCAGGCTTTCTCAGGTTAACTGTGGGCCTCCCTCTGAGCCCTGAGCACTAGGCGACCACCTCCCCAGCCCAGACCCAGTGCCCACTGAGGAATGAGTTCCCCTCTGGGGAACTAGAGGGGCACAGAGAGAGGATGAAACCCTTGCCAAGAGCTCAGACTCTCCAGAAACACCTCAGGGTTCAGTTCCTTCCTCGGCACCCCCCATTCCTGGGGAGGTTGGGTGGGACCCTAGGCGCTGGATCTTGGACACATCCCTTACATGTCCTCACTGGCAAACGGCAGGGCGTCGGGACAAAAAATCTCCAAGGTCCTTTGGACTTTGCCTCATTTCCTCTTGGTGACCCATGTGCACACCCGGGTGCATCCTGAGGCCTGGGGGGCCCGCATGTGCCAACAACACAGCTGAGAGCAGCCCTCCGGGGACGCAGTCTGGCGCATCTGTGACTCCACTGTCCACCGTGTGCTTGTGTGGGTGCTCGCACGTGTAGAGCTGCACCTCCCAATGTCTGATGGCTTCGGGATCTGAAATCCCCTTAGCTTCCCCACCACCCCCAGCTGTTTCTGGGTCTGGGAGCTGCCCCAATAGCTGTCCCTTCCTCAGGAATCCTCCTGGAACTCCTCAAGAGTGCTTCTTGCTCTTTTTTCTCCAAAATCTGTTTCTAAGTTGGAATCAGGGCACATCGATATGGAGCTGAGTAGGTCCCAGGCTTGGGGGAGGCACAAGGGAGAGAGTTCGGGAGAGAACGAGGAGCCAGAGACGGGGCCAGGACTGGGAGACAGGCATGCACTTCAACTGTCCTTTCCACAGACAGGTTTCACCCCATCTTCAAACAATCAGACTTTCCAGATCTGTCCTAGATTTGACAGCTTCCCTCTGCCAAGGACAGAGGGTTAAGGGGACCTCCCTGCCTGCGCCCCCAGGGACCGGCATGTGTGGGAAGAGAGCACCGATCTGTAGCTGTAGTCAATGACTAGCTTGTGTGGCTTGGGGACATTAACTATATGGGAATGGAGTGCATGTGCACTGGTGTGTAGGTGTGTGAATAACAGTGTCACTCTGTGTGTGTGCGTCCCTCGGGGGCATGTGGTGCCTGAATGACCCCTGAGCCCAAGACACATGACCCTTTCTCCCCAGATCGGGGTTTCAGGGTGGGGCCCTGTCTCCTGAAGCTTCTCCCTTCCCCTCCACCAAACTCAGCAGGGACTGTATCCTAGGGGACTGTTTACTTCTCCACTCACCTGCACCTCACCTGGGAGCTCCCTGCTGGCCTGGCCCCAGGGGCAGGAAGGGGCCAGCTGGGAAAACCGGACCTCCAGGGTCTACTCCTTCTGACCTCTATTCTTTCGCCCTTTGCTCTGTTCTTCCAAGTCTCTGAATACAGAAAGGGGCTGAGCTGGAGAAAGGGGTTTGCTCCTTTGTCCTCCTTCTTGGCTGGTCCTCAGTTTTCCTGTCTCTAGAATGGGGAGCCCCCAAAGCCCCCATTGGAAAGGCTTGTAAAATGTGTGTCTATAACAGCTCGGTTGCGTGGCTGGGGTCGCTGGTGAGGAAGGCATGGCTGGCTGAGCCAGGAGTTCTGAGGCCCGGGAGAGGAGGGAGATGGAGGTGCCCTCCTTCTGCGTCTGTCTCCTAGTTCCTGGTGAGCACCTCGCCCAGAGAGAGCTAGGAAGGGCTCGGCCAGGACTTCGTCCACCCCAAGGCGCCCCACGCTGCCCGCACCCCGACCGGCCCGGCCCCAATCGCAGCTGGGGAGGTGGCGCCCGAGCTCGGACCCGGGCCGAGCCCGCCTCTGCCCGGAGCCGCTGCCGCCGTCCCTCCCCCGGGCCCGGCCGGGCCGGGGAGACACCTACCGCACCAGGATGGCCACCCCCACGTCCTCGCAGTTGGCATAGAGCCGGGCCCACGTCGCCTGCACCGCCTTCCTCTCCGCCTCGGACAGCTCCTCGCTCCGCTCCCTGCGCTCTATCTCCATCTCGCCCGGCACTTTCTCCATGAGCAGCTCCCAGCGCAGCCCGGCTACGCTCGGCGGCGGCGGGGCGCGGGGAGCCGGGGCCGGCTGCGTGTGCCGCTGGCGGGCGAGTGGTAGAGCGCGCCGGAGGGAGGGAGCGTGTCTGTACGCGCCGTGTGTGTGTGTGTGTGTGTGTATGTGTGCGTGCGTGTGTGTGTGTGTAGGGTATATGTGCAGGGGGCGGGGGACCGCGAGCGGGGGGCGGGGATGTGGTCTGCTGCAAAAACATGAAAAAAAAAGAGATCCGCTCCAAACCCCCAACCCCTTGTCCGTGAGCCAGTTCCGGCAAGGTGAAGGCTGGGCGGGGTGCCCGCCCTCCAGGCCACCGCGGAGTTTGACTGCCGGGCGGGGCGTAGGTGGGGCGGGTGTACTGGGGGGTCCCAGGAGGAGGGGGCGGGCAGTCACGGGGCGCCGGGCCGCACGGGAGTGCGCCGCGGCGCGTGCAGGTCTGGGGGCACCGGGTCGCGGCTCACGCGCTGGGCGAGGCCGGGGCGTCTGCGCGTGTGCCCCCTTCCCGCGGCGGGGTACTGACTCTAAGTCGAACACTCCCAGGCATTTGCGGCGTGGCCGCCAGCCCGAGGGGGCGGCGCGAGCCCCTCCAGGTGCGCCGCGGTCCGAGCTGAGTTCCCGCTCGCTCCCGGCCTCTCCCGAGCCAGCCGGGGGGCCGCGGCGGCACCCGCAGAGCACCGGACCCCAGACTCTGGAGGGCTTAGAGAAAACAGACATCATCTCCCTACGCCAACACCTTACAGGAAAACACCAAAGCGGGGATGGGGGGCGGCTGTCGAACTTGAGCGCCAAAGGCCTGCGCCAGCGGCCTGCGCCAGCCTTTCCTTCCCGCCAGCACTCCTCCCCTTCGGGGCACGCACGTGGCGTCAGAAAGAAGGCCCTGGGTGGCTTACTGATGACACAGGCAGGCCCAAACCTGGCGCCGCTCCTGATTCTGACCGTGGGGGAGAAAAGCTCGAAGGAGAGGCCGCTGGGCCGGGCAGAGCGGACCTGCGGTGGGTGGGTCGGTGGGGTTGTCAGGAAGTCTTGGTGGTGGGGGGAGGCCCAGGGCGCTGGAGACGTCTCAGCCACCAGGACCTGGATTAGGGAGGGGTTCTGTGGGTGGAGGAGACAAATTCTTGTCCTGGTGGCCTTCTCAGGGAAGGGGATTGGACCAGAGGTGGGGACTGTGCCTCTGAGAGCCACCTGGTCCCCACCCTGCAAGCAGCTGCTCGATTCTGGTATGGAGGGGGTCCCACTTCTGACTCCCAGTTGAAGCCTGAGGCCAGACCCGGGCTGCAAGCATCTGAAACATGTGACACATGTGATGGCTCTTGTGGGGTGTGTCCAGTTCTCCCTAACACTCCCTGGTGACACTGCCCTTCCCAAGTCTCTGTCCACTGCTCAAGTATGGCAAGAGGTGGCGGCTCTCCTCTTCAGCTTTGGTTTACGTGCTTATTTTTAAAAATTCTATTTCAAAGCAGAGGGCCCTGGCACAGCCCTAGCTCCGGGCCTTGCTGGAGCCCAGGGTTCAGGTACGTTACTGGAATCCTGGGCGGGAGGCATCTTGCCGCTCAGGTCTCAGTTGAGGGAGGGAAACTCTAATGCCCTCTTCTGGGGGTCTTGGAGAGAGATGGAGGAGAGTGTGTGGGCTTAGTTTCTTACGCCACTCTCAGACCCGTGTTCTCTCTTTTGGCCTGTGCTCCGCGTGCTTCCTGGGCCGCCTCTGATAGCTTCCGAAGAGCCAGTGCAGTGGCCATCCAAACGGCTGCCCAAGAGGTTCCCCTGGGATGTGGACAGAAAGTAGGAGAAATCTTGATTCTATTCACTTTGATCTCACCCTTTACAAGTTTTATGTATGTCTCTGGTGCGGGACTGTATTTGCACAGTAATATAGTATATAATTTATGAGTGGATGCATATATCCCTTTTCCTGAGTGCACACTTAGATTCTGCCTTTTACTGAAGAAGGTATGTAATCACAAACATTTGGAAACGGCTGTCCAGAGTTTAGAAGTGAACCACTTAGCCAGCCCTTCACTCCCTGGCCTCCCTTGTCTTTCTGGCTTCATCATCTATATTCTTCCCCTGTCCTCCTCCCCTCCCGATGCCTCCCCTGTGACATCATGACTCCACCAATACTCAACTCCCAGTTGCCAGAACATGCCCTGTGCTTTCACGTCTGCAGCCCTGGCGGAGTCTTCTGTCTGTGGGCCCACCCTTCCTTGAGCTCCTGCAAATACAGATGAGCCCAGCTCCTCTCTGAAGATTCCCCTGACGCTTGCAACTCCCAGAGTGCTCTGTAGGCACCGTGAATAGCCTAAGTCTGTCTGTGGTGGTCATTTGTTTAACTTGCCAGTGCGTTTGTCTAGACTCTAAGTCCCTTGAGGGGCAGGCCCAGGGCTTACTTATACCTACATCCAGAACAGACTGAGGTCGATTTACCCTGCCACGGGGAGGGGGGACAACCGGGTCCAGTGAGGTCGATCAGTCTGCACAAGGTCGGGTCTGCTGACCCCACTAATCAGCTTGAGCCTCCTAATCCATCGCCCGCAGGAGCCTCAGGAAGGACCGCAGGGGCTTGGGAGAGCTGGCAGGGGCCATCTTGGCCTTCTCCTGCGGACGCGGTCTGGAGGGGATGGGGCAGCTGAGCCATGTGCACTACCCTCTTCCTGCTCAGCACCTTGGCCATGCTCTGGCGCCGCCGATTCGCCAACAGGGTCCAACCGTGAGAAACTGACTGGGCCACGGGCTGGGGTGGGGGAGAAACTACTGCGCTGGGTTACAGTCAAGCTGAAGGCGGGCGGGGGCTGCCTGGGCTCCAGGAAGGCTGGGAGGGACTTGCCAGGGAGCCCTGAGAGGTTCCCCCTCGAAGTAGGGGGAACTTGGAGCCCTTCAAAGATGCTGGCCACAGCCTCCGGTTCCAGAGCCCAATGTGGCTTAGGTCTTGCAGAGGAGCGGGGTCTGGGGTCTGGGTGCTGCCCACAGCTCTGCCTGCCTCTTTTCCCTCCCACAGAGAGCCCAGTGGAGTAGATGGGGCAGTTACGGGCAGCAGCTTGGAAACAGACCTCCAGTCCTCAGGCAGGTAAGGCAGAAGAGTCTAGGGTGGAGGAGGAAGGGTGTCGCTAAGGAGGCTGCCGCTGTCCCCTGTCCCTGCCCAGGCCCCGGGGGTGTTCGTGGGTATGTGTGTGTGTGTGCGTGCGTGCTCCACGCTGGCCCCTCACCCCAGCTACCCTGTTCACTGTATGCCTAGTGGGCAGGCCGAATGTCTGTTTTCTCCAGTTGGGAATGGGACTCTCAGCTTCTCCTCTGGACCAAAATTTCTCTGCCTTGCTTGTCCTAGTGCGGGGTGGTCCCCAGGGTCCCTTCTGTTGGAAGGTGCAGGGGGAGTGGAGAGAGGGATGAGGCAGAAGCAGCTCTGCGTTGCTTTGCTTGCCTTCCCTTCCCCCTCCCTCGCCCGCTGCCACCGCCCCCCCCCCGCCCCCCCCGCCCCCCCAGCCTCGGCAGCAGCGGAGCTGCCTGAACCTCCAGCCGGATTCGCTGTCCAGTCCCCAATAGAAGGCGCAGGAGGAGCATGACATCATCAGCACTGAGTGCCATTGGCTGGGCAGTCCCTGCGGGCAGGACACTGTCTCCAGTGGCCAGAAAGTTAACTCTTCCCTATTCTGGAGCCATGTGGCCTTTACCAGGGGTGAAGATTGGGAAACTTCTGGACTTTTCCTTCTCCGCTGACTAGTGTCCTTTGATGATAGGGGCTCTATGCCCAAGAAGACACTGAAAAATCAGCAAATATTTCTGAAGAACCTACAGTTGGAAATGTTCATTTGTGCCTTTGGGCCCATCTAGTGTGGGGGACCTATCCGAAGAGTGATATTCTCTGCTGTGGAAGCATCTTCTAGCCCCCGGCACTGCTTCTCTCACTCCCCTGAAAGGAGGCTCAGACGGCTAAGACAGTGAGCATGCACGCTCGCCTGTGCACCCCACGTCTCTTCCAGGGTGTGGGCGATGTGCCTGCAGTGTGCCCCATAAATATGTCAAGGTTGGCAAGCCGAGAACTTGGGTCTTTCTCTGTGTCTCTGCTCTGACTTCTCAGTCCTTGGGTTCCCCCAGGTTTGGAATGTCAGAAGGCCCCCTGGGAAGCCCAGGGCCTGTGCAGGAAGCAGATTCATTTCTGTGACGCCCTTCCTCGATAGCTGGGCTAGCTGAGAGGGTCACAATAGTGCCTAATTACGACTACCGGTGAAATGGGCTGACACGTATAAAATGACGATCACTGGGCCCTCAAATGCTGACTGGTCCTCACTGTTGAGTTTGGGTCTGGAGCGGGGCAGCCTGAGTTTAAATCCTACCTCCGCTCTTACTGAGAGGCTGTGGGCAAATTTTGTAATCTTTTTATTCATATGTAAACTGGGATTAATAACAGACTGGTTGTGAGGTTTCTGTGAGGTTTAAATGAGATAACCGTAGTAAAGCACTCAGCACAGAGTAACTGCTCAGTTAACGCCAGCTCTACTCTTGCTGTTATATGATCAGTGCTTTATTCTTCCTCAGGGGTTTCTCATACATTAACTCACTCGGAAGTCTCCATGGCCCCAAAGGTTTGGCAGTTCAGGTGTTTCTAGCTCTTGTCAATGATGCAAGAAGCGGAGGGGCAGGGAGACGTAAATGACTTACTCAACGTCGTCCACCCAATTTGTGGCTGATGTGGGACTGACAGGTCCCTGACTTCAGACAGTCCATCTCCTCGACTGAAATGCCCCTGGACCTCCTGTCAGGAGAGAAAAGGCCAAATCTGGGACCATCTGGCCGGGCCTGGTCTGCTGTGGCCTTGCCAGAAGGGAGCAGTTGCCTGTTAACTCCTTGGGACCCAGCTAACCGGCCTACCAACTAACCCCTCCTGCCGATGGTGGCTCCACGGAGGGCTGGCCCGGTGGGGCAGTAGACGTGAAAGTTCTGCTCTCCGGTTCCACAGTCATAAATTCCAATTGGCTTCTGGGGTGTTGCTGTTCCTCAATAGTGGGGTGAATTGCTAGGCTTGGGGGCAGGAGGAAGGGGAAGGCTGGAAGCGTGGGAGGGTCATCCTCCAGTCTTCTGACTCCGTGTTCTTTTCTGTTTAGAGAGAAAGAACCGCTGAAGTAAGCCCTCGCCTCTTCAGGAGGAGCTCAGCGCCAGGGCCTGGGATCAGCTGGCAGGTAGGGCAGGGGCTGCAGCCTGGAGGAGAGAGGGCAGGGCTGGGGACAAGAAAGGAAGAATACAGAGCACGCAAGGCCTGGCCATGTGGGAGCAGAGCAGGCTGTCTTCAGCTCTGTGGTCACGATGGAGGTTAAGGGTAGGAGGGTGGACTCCTTCCGTCGGCTCCTACCTTGAGCCTGTTATGTTCCAGGCCACAGGGCAAGGGTTAGTTTTAAGAGAACTACGTGTGATCTCAACAGCATTTTCTAGGCCTGGGGATGGTGGTCCTGCTGGGGGCCTGAGGGCTGTCTAGAGGACTTCGCAGGGAGAGGCAGTGCTCTGGGATGCCCACTCTGAAATACAAGGGCCCGCTCTGGGGTGGGAGAGAGAGCCGACCCGGCTTGGTTTTCTCTTTCAGCTCACGTCCTGGTGTGCCCCCCACCCCCGAAGGACACCGTGGTGGAAGGAGCTGCAGGAGGGAGACTAGGGAAAGCAGCCGTTGAGAAGGTAGACTCCCCTTTTCGGCCCCCAGACCCACCAGTCTGCGCTTCCCCCGAGGCCCTGGCTCTGGGGCTTCTGAAGCTGGGCCTGGCCGGGCAGGCGGGAGGGGCAGAGATGCTCAAGCTCTGGGACGGGCTCCCTTCCTCTGAGGAGGCCCAGAGAGAGGGACTCAGTGGGGTCCCCCCATTTAACTCGGGGGCAACCCCTGCCGCCCGGGGCTAGAGGAGGGAACAAGTGGGGGGCAAGGAGACTCCAGAACTGAGGGACAGAGATGGTTCACATTCACAAAGGAAGGGCTGCCCTCTCACCCTCCTCTGAACCCCCACAACAACCCACAGAGGCTGGTCATGTTATTGTCCACGGTTTAGAAATGAGGAAACTCACAGAGAGCTTTGCTAATTTGCCCAGCGTCACCCAGCTAGTAAGTGGAGGACCCCAGGCTGACATGCAGGTTGCAGAGCCCATGCTCTTCACGCCCACAGCGCAGGCCTCCCTGAAGCCGCCTGGAAATCTGCAGCTGCTCAGTGGAAGAAGCGGTTTTACTGGCCTGGCCGCCCATCTTTGGCAGCTCAGCTTGTCCAGGGCTGTGTGGTGTCACTTTGCAATGGTGGCACTCACTTCCTATGACATTTGCCTCTCCCTGGTCCCCAGAGTCACCCTGCCACTGGCTGCTCTGCTGAAATGATCAATAGGAAATGCCGTTCGGATCTGTGACATGTCTGCCTACAGCTGGATGGAAGCAACTCACAGCTTGTCCTCGGAGTGTGTCTTCTGTGTGTGTGTGTGTGTGTGTGTGTGTGCACGCGTGCCCATGTCCCAAATGGGCAGTAGCATGTGGGAAGGGAAAAAGCATGACGCTTGCTTCCGTCAATCTGCTGACGGCTCAGTAACGGCGGTGGCCTCCTTTGCCCCCAGCTGCTCTGCCCTTTCTCTCTCTTTACCATCCTGCCTGATCCTGAGCAGAGAGAAAAGCAGATTTCCGCTTCTGCTCCCCGCGGTCCAGGCGCAGACCCTGCAGGCAGCTGCTGCCAAATGCCTTGCAGCCATTCGTCTTCCAAAGCCCCCCCCAGACTCCCCCCACGTGCATCTCACCTCCCCATCCAGCCCCCATTGCCCATCTAGCAACGAGGTCTCTGCCCGGCTGGGCCCCGCCCCTGACTTTCAGGAAAGAGGAGCTGGGGGAGTTCTCTAGACAGCAGGAAAAGGTGAGGTGCAGCCGACTGGACTCGGGGAACCCACTCTGAAGTGATGCGGAGTTGGGGGAGCTGCTGCAGGGAGCCTGGCGGTTCTGTGGGAGCCTCACAAAGTAGGGCAGGGCGGAGGCAGGGAAGGGTCTCACCAAGGGAAGGAGCTGCGCCCTTGACGTGGGCCACGAGTTCGTGACCACTTCTCTCAGCTCCCATCAGCACGTCTTTCTCCCTGGGAGGCATCAGCCTTCCTGGTGACAGGACTCTCAGGCTGAGGGCCAGAGCGCACTGTTCTGGGACCCAGTCTGTACTCCCTGATCCTATCTATGCATCCATTCTCTAATCTATTTGCCATATTCCTGTCACTTCATCCTTGCCTCCGCTCTCTGCCATTTTCAAGTTGCCTGTCTCCTTCCACTGGGCTGAGGAATTGTCAGACCAAGGTCGCCTAGCGGCACCGGGGCTGGCTCACGGCCCAGATGCACATCCACAAAGTGACACCCCTTTGCAGCCCTGTTCTAAGAGCCTGCTCAGGAGATGAAGGCTCCTCTGGGGACTGGTTCCAGATGGAAGGAGGGAAAGCAAGAGGAAGGGGCTGCTGGAGGTGGGGGGATGTGAATGCCTGGGCTTGGAGGCTGCCCAGGCCCTGGCAGCCGGGGTGCCATGTGGGCTGGGCGGGAGGGGCTCTCTCCCCCAGGGAGCAGGCTGGCTTCGGTGGGAGCAGGTTGTGTTTACACCTTCCCCACACGCCCGGCCCACGCTCGCCTCTTCTCCTCAGGGCTCTCCCACCCCTGGGCTCTCTGCACAGTCTGCACATTGGCAGCTTCTACTGCAGAGTTGCCACCCTCGGCCTAGAGAGCCTCTACGGGAGGCTGCCCGGGACCGAGGCGCCCCTTCCTCGGCCCACCATCTCCTGTCACAGCAGCTGGTAGGAAGCCCATGCTGGGGGTGGACCCAATGTTCCCAAAAGGCTGAGTCCTTCTCCCCTCCCATTTCCTTGGAAAGAGCCGCTGCTTGGAAATGGGAGCAGGAAAGTTCAGGGGCTTGGTAGACTGACCATAACAGGAGGGGGGGATTAAGGGCAACTCGAGAGACAGAGCTGGGTCACTCCTGGTCCGGGGTGTGGGCTGTTATGAAATAATGATAAAGGATCTAAGAGGGAGGAGCCCAGAGTCAGAGCACCGGGTTGAAATCTTGACGCCGCCACCACTTCCTACCTCTGTGGCCTTGGGTAGGTTACTGAACGTCTCTGTGCCTCAGTTTCCTCATCTATGAGACGGAGATAACAGTAAACCTTCTTACAGGATTATTGTAGTGTTAAATTAGATAATGCGTGTCAAGGGCTTACCATGTTTAGTGAGTGTTCAATATATGTAAGCTAGTGTGATTGTGTTTATAAACTGTCAATTACTGAACAGTTAGTCATTTCAGAACAGTTAGTAGGTTCAGAACAGCTAGAGTCCCTCACCCCCTCCCCACAGCCCTTCCTGGCCTGTCTTTCCACATACACACCAGCTGGGCAACGGGCAACTCTGAAACAAATGAGAGGACAGCAGAGGGTGGAACTTCTGGGTGGGGGCCACCTAGTAAGACCCAGCACCCAGTGAGATGGTACCAGAGTGCACCGCTGTTGCTTCTCGGTATCTGGAACCCTGTCCCAACCTCCAGTGGGAGGGTCCTGGCCTGGATACCTTCCCCGCAACGGGCTCTGCTTCTCCGAATGAATCTCAGCTCCCAGAGAAGACAGGAGGTGGTTGTCCTGATTCTTTTCCATCCTCCGTCTGAATGCTAATCTCCCTACTGATGGGAGCCTGAGTGACAGGGAAAAGGCTGCTCGGAGCTGCAGGGTGGCCGAGGGCAGCAGCCGGGAGCGAGCGGGGAGGTGCTGTCTGCTACTTCTGTGGCTGCAGCTCAGGGCCGCTGCCAGTCCCTCCCGGAGGTTGGGACACGACCAGAGAGCTAATGAGGTGCCAGGGGTGAGGCGGGGGAGCAAGGGAAGCAGCTACCACAGCTGCCTGGCATCACCCTAGGGTGCAGATGCAACCGGGGAGAGTACCCGCCCATCCCAAACGTGTGACCGAGTGTCTACAGGCAGGATAGTCCTGGGCAGGGGCAGAGAGCACAGGCCCCGGTCCTAGACTAGGGGGGCACGGCGCCTATTGGAGGCTGGCACAATGGCACAGCACAGCAGCAGGGGGCCCGACTGGTTCCCCCAGGCTCCCAGGGCCCCTCTGCAGGGCCCTCACTGTTAGGAAGAAGCCCAAGACCTTGAGATAGAGGCAGTAATGCTCCTCTGTGCGCCTCAAAAGGAGAGTAGCCAAGTGGCTCATATTAAGGTTTACTTGAATATCATGATGCTGTCACGACTCATGTTATTGATACTGGCTAATAGGTCTCAGACACTTACTCCGTGCTGGGCGCTGTACCAAGAGCTTTATTCATAAGCATTGTCTCACTTATGAGGCAGGAACTGCTGTTAACCTCATTTACCCAATACGGAAAGTGAGGTTCACAGAACTCACTCAAGGTCACTCGCAGCTGGTGGCAAAGCCAGGACCTGTGCCCGGGCAACGTTGATGCCAAAGCTTGTGAGGCTGTCGGGGGAGGAAGGAACTGAGTCTAGAGCGGGGGCTGTGAGGAAAGCCCGGGGTGACCGTCCTCCAGGCACAAGGAATGAGAGCTACGGCCTCACCCCGGCAGTGCATTTGCAGGTGGGCCGGGCGGGGTTTGCCAGGGTGATTCACATGCTCTCTCTTCAGGAACCTGGGGTTCAAGGGCAGACCAGACTCTGGGTCCCGAAAGGCCAGTCCTTGTCTACCAGCTGAGGGGAAGGAGGAGAGCGGCCCCTCCAGGATCTGTCATCCCCTTCAGGGAGGAAGCAGTGGCCACCGGCAGGGATGACAGACGGCGAGGCCAGCACTGAGAGCCACTGCCATTGCCATTCTGCTACCTCCTTCAACCAGGGCAGAGCCCCTGGGAGGGAGACGATGGCAGCCAGCGGCCCAGCTGGAGGCGGAGCTAGAGGAGGGGGGAGCTGTTTGTTTTTGCAGGGGGAGGGCGCAGGGCATGTGGACCAAGGAGGTAGCTTCAAGAGGGATCCGCGGACAAACTGGAAACAAGTCCTGGAACTTTAGAACTGCAGACCCTCTCTGTGGGATGCACATGCCCCCTAGTGGGGACTAAGCCTAGAGGGTGGAGAGAAAATTAAAAGAGTTACTGATGACCATGACCTACGAGCCTGGGTAGAAATGGCCAATCCTATCCTTCTGTGAACACACACACGCCCACATAACATCACACGCAGAAGCCAGCTAAACTAAGTATTAGAGGAAACTCTTCCATTTATTCACTTGCTCCTATCTAACAAGCACGTATTGGGAGCCTACAATGTACAAATCCTGTGTGAGGTGCTGGGAATGAGACAGCGATAAGAGGCAGTGCCTGCCCTGCTGGTTAGTACAAGACCAAGATCCTGGCCTGGGAGGTCCAGTTCTGCCAGCCCAGCCACTGCCTGGTCACTTGACCTTTCCTTCTCTGGACCTCAATCTCCCCATTTAATAGGCATGTGTTGAACCCAGGCGGCTTGGCGCTGGGGACGTAAAGGACTAATGACCATCCTCAGGAAAAGAACTGTCTACTAAGATGCAGGGGATGGACCAGATGACCTCTGGGGGCTCCACAGCTTCTTCCAATCAAAAGAGACTCTGGGGCTTCCCTGGTGGCGCAGTGGTTGAGAGTCCGCCTGCCGATGCAGGGGACGCGGGTTCGTGCCCCGGTCCGGAAAGATCCCACATGCCGCGGAGCGGCTGGGCCCGTGAGCCATGGCTGCTGAGCCTGTGCGTCCGGAGCCTGTGCTCTGCAACGGGAGAGGCCACAAGAGTGAGAGGCCCGCGTACCGCAAAAAAAAAAAAAAGAGAGAGAGACTCTGGTGGACTGTGTCTGGAGGTGCTAACAAGGGCTCGCTCACTCAACAGACATTCATGGAGTGTCTGTGTGCCAGGCACTGTGGATGCAGAAATGAATTAAGACTTCCTGCCACAAACAACCAGAAAACTGAGCAAAATATAAGAAACAGACACTTGACAATGCACAGCACACAGGATGGTGACCTCATGCTTGCCTCAGCGTCTGCCTCAGACAGTTCCCTGCCTGCGGCGTGGGGAGGGCAGACCATGCAGACCACGGTGGTCTCACTAGGATGAGGAGACATGATGAGAGTTCAAGACGGTGCTGGGTGGGGGGCTTTCCAAAGGACATACATACAGATCAATGAGATCCAAAGACAGGGCAAAGGTGATTCAGTGGAGAAAGGAAAATCCTTTCAATAGAACACAGAAAGCACTAACCATAAAAGTGAAATGGATAAACTGGACTTGATCAAAACTGGAAAGACTGGGAGATAATATCTCCCAAGCAAGTATCTGAGAAAGGACCTGTATCCAGAATATATAAAGAACTTTCACAACTCAATAAGAAGATAGGCCAATACAAAAAGGGAGGGTTTTAACAGACACTTCACAAAAAAGTATACATAGGGCCAACAAAC